CCAAGCTTAAAGTCAGAGGCTCTTCTCAGCATGGGAGCTTTCCTGCAGAGCTCCGAATCCTTAAATGTGTGGTGGGATGAGACATTTGTGGAGAGGCAGGTCGCTTAGAGCTATGGGTTTCTCTAAGACAGCATGTCTTTGCGTTAAAGCCTTTAAGATCTTAACTATAGGCTTCGGGGTAAGTTTCGGAAGGCAAGTCCCAAAATGAGAAGCCAAGTACAACAATTGCGAGCTACATACCTTATTAACTCAAGGCTCGCAACTACAGGGTGCTGAGGCCCTATCACGCCCCAGAAGTTTAACAAGTCCTGCTTGAATGTTACCTGTAGTCTCCATTGTAGTTCCTTTTTTTGGCTTAACCAATCAAATATCAAGGACTTTACAAGGTATCCCCCAAAAGGAACTACAATGGAGACTATAGGTACGGTGAAAGTCAATTTTCCATTCTGTCCCGCACAACCCCGATTCAGAGGCTCTGGTGTGTCTTTGAGCTCGGAGCGTATCTCGGAAGTTGCAAGTTTTCAGATTCTAGGTTCGTCTTCGGTATGTTTTGTTTTGACATCTTTGCTTCTGGGTTGCCATTATACACTAATCATACAGGGGCCTTAATAGTTACCTATATTGTTTGGGGGACTCCGTAGTATAGTTATCGTATAATATACCCCAAAAGGCTATTCTAATCATAAGGGCCTCTATATTATACAATTCTTCTTAGTGGGTTGCTGAACAGCCTAGGATTCCAGACGTGCTAAGAGATTCACCGTCACGCCGACTATGCTTGGGACGAGCTCAGTAGCTACATGTTTTTCATTATTCGTGGCCATGCTGAGTTATATGGTCAGTCCATTTGGCAACCTGCTGGTTGGTTGGATCGTTTTCTCTGTGCTCTTCCTTGCCGGCGGACACTTTGCTGTCCGCTCCTTGAGGAGCTACTTCACGGCTGTGGAGCGCATGCTTGTCCAGCTGCGCAGTTTTCACATCCGAGACGCCAAGTGCCAATGCTGCGCGGACGGTCACACAGGAGATGACTCCAATCCAATTTGTGACCGTGGAATTATCAGCCTTTGCATTCGCAAGTGGTTCGGCACCGAGTCTGCGTTCGAGAAGTTGGTCGCTACCGACGTGTCCGTCGCTTTGGCCAGAGCCCTCGGCGATTCGTCCTTCTCCTATTGGTGGCTCTTGATGGTCTCGGCTCCATTACATTGGGGGCACCTGGACCAAGTGGCTGCTCGATTACGTGTAGGGGACATGGAGGCCGCCGCAGTGACGGCCATCGTCACCTTGACTTACTCGTTCCTAGCCTTCCCTTTCATAGGACGTCTCGGGATTATCCTGGCGTGCAAGGCTCGGCGCCAACGGCAGCAACTCTGGGCAAACGAGCTCGTGACCTTTGCAGTGTTCATTGCTGGCTTTCCGGTCGCGGGGGCCATTCTTNNCCATGCCCCGCGGTTGCACGATGGGCACTGCAGAATGTTATACTAATTCCGTGTCACATATACTACAGAATAGATTGGATGCTCACTCCACCTTGTCGAGCTTTTGAGTGCTGCAGGCAGACTCTGCTGCTGCGAGCTATGAACCCGCTTGCTGGAGCGAGCATGTTTGCCGCAATCAACTTGATCCTTCTGATAGTCCTGCTTCGGCAATGCTCGCGGATGGCACTTCTCTCGCAGGATGTACAGTAGATATCCCAGCGTAATCGCTGCGGTTTCTTTTTCCGCAATGCTCGTAGAGGTTTGCGGTCTTGATGTTCGCAGGCTGTACAGTAGACAGATATCCTGATGTTGTCGTTGCAGTTCCTTCCCTCGACAGAAAGGTCCCGTCATTTCGGTTGGGCGTCAAAGCCCACACCCTGCCCAAAGTTCGATCCCCCCTCCGCAACAAAGTGGAGGCATACTACATAGATCAAAACTGTACATAAGCCAATAACCCTTGCACTAGCAGCCCCTTGAGAGGGATGCTCCGCCGGTCCCTATAACGTATCCACGCCAGCCAATAGTCATTGCAATCACGGGGATCGAAAGAATGCGCAAACCCCAAACCGGAGCAGTCCCGACACCCTGCAAGCCCCAAACCTTAAACTGTTTAACTCTCAAACCCCAAGACCCCAGGAATGCCGTCAACTCCAACTAGCACTCCTGCCACCACTATCACAACCATCACCACTGCCGCTGGCACCTGCCAGCACCATCCCCCCCCTACTGTTGCCGCTGCCCTACCACTACCACTACCACTACCGCCGCTGCCACGACCGCGACCACAACCACTACCACGACTAGCACCACTACGACTACTACGACGACGACTATTGCTGCTACTACAGCTGCTGCTGCTGCAGCTGCTGCCGCTGCTGCTACTGCTCCTGCTCCTGCTCCTGCTCCTGCTCCTGCTCCTGCCTTTGCCCCTGCTTGTGCTGCTGCTCCTGCTCCTGCTCCTACTCCTAATCGTCCTAATCCCCTACTCCTGCTCGAACTCAAGCTCCTAGTTCTAGTCCTACTACTACGACGACAACTACTTCGACGACAACGACGACTTCTACCGCGGCTACTACCTGCTGCCACCACCGCTACACTACTTCTACTACTACTACTACTACGACGACTACTACTACTACTACTACTACTGCTACTCCTGCTACAACAACAACTACTACTACTACTACTACTACTACTACTACTCCTGCAGCTACTACTACGACTACGACTCTGTCTTATTGAGCGTAGCATGTGTCATTCAAGGACTGCCCTTGAAGTCGAAAAAGTCGTCAGGAAGCTTCATCCCTGGAAGTCCAAGGAACGGAATGCCGCTGCCCCTTCACAGCCTGCTAAGTATTTAATCCAGGCTCGTAGAGAGCCTCTTCTGACACCCTTCGGGAACCTTCCGAAGCTCATATCGGGAACCTTGTAAGGCTCTTATCAAACCCAGCCATGCAAACCTGACGAGTCTGCCGAGGGCCCGCACCCCCCAAAGCCCTAAGCTCGAAAACCGAGACCCTAAACCCTAAGCCCTAAGCTTTACATCATCTAAACCCGAATCCCTGAACCTTAAACCCTAAACTCCAAACCCCCAGCCCCAAACCCCAAATCCTAAACGTCTCCGAGGTGATTACTCTTTACAGCCTTCTAAGCCTCTCTCTCCTCTGCTACACTCCGCGGCCGCAGCCCACAGGTGGGGCTGCTGGTTTCGGAGTTGCTCTGAGTTCTTGGGATATAAGGTAAATGTAGACTGAAGGTACAGCCGTTCAGTGCCCGCACTGGGCGTGCGACTTGCCTTATACTCCTTGTTCCACTCCTAAGCCCTAAACCCTAAACCCTATTATTCAGGCATGAGACTCAGGGTGGAGGGCAAACTTGGGAGGGAGATTGACCGACGCGGCAAGTTAGGCGTGGAGGCTCGGGGTTTTGGGAACTCTGAAGGAGGAAGGGTTGAGTAACTAGCATAGGATGTTGAGACCCTAATTTAGAGAATTACCCATATCCTGACCCTACACCCTAGACCCTCAATCCTAAATGTCTCGGTGACGTTAAAGCGAGACCTAAGTGTCGCCATGAAAGGAAAGCAAATGTTCTTGTAGCAACACGGCGGGTGACACGCCGTATTGGTAATCAGGGCAAGAATTGTGTTGGTGTGGTATCTAAGTATGACTAAGAACACTGGGCAGAATTTTTAAATCAATGGTAGTGATTTACATGATGAAGCGAACCTTGAATAAAAACGAGGCCTCGCCGCCTCGCCTGACACCTCCTTTGTTCTCCTTGTATCGACAGCGTCGCTCTGCGGACTCTCCTTTGCTAAGAGGCAAGTCTTCAATCCCCAGAGCCTGTACTAGCCCCTAAAACCTTAAAGCTACACCCTAAACCCTAAACCTTAAACCCTGAACGCTAAACCCTGAACCCTGAACCCTGAACCCATGGAGAGCGTCGTGGCCGTTCGCCAGAAGCCTGGGACCCTTCTCCAGTCTCGCTGGGAATTCTTGGGCATACAGCCCTGCAGCAGAAGGGCGGTGCGGGACTCGGTGCAGACCTTGGTCGGGGTTGCATACACATTAGACCAGAAGAAGGCTTAATATAAGGGCCTTAATAACTAGAAGAGGGCTTTGGGGTATATTATACTATAAGTATACTAAGGAACCCCCAAAGCCCTACTCTAATTATTAAGGCCCCTACATTACTGCGTGTATGTGGCGGGTGAAAGCAAGCCTGAACCCTCGACCCTTAACCAGAAGCCCCAAGCCCAAACCCTCGACCTGCAACCCTTGCCCCTAACACCTAAACGCCAAGGTCCTGAGGGGTTTGCTATGGTGGTCTTGGTCTGTGCAGAGTGGAGTCATGATGATGGTGATGGTGATGATGACCATGATGATTATCTTGTCCATCATCATCGTGAGCAGGTGTGGCAATCAAAACAAGGCATTGAACGTCCAGTGGGGAGTGCGTTTTGGAGTCCGCCTGCAACGGAAATCTTGCTTGTCTGTTTGGATTCTGCGAGAGGGTCTGTGTTGCAGTCCGTATTCCCAACAAGGATCCACAAAGGCCCAACGAAACACCTCAAAAGGACTTGCCCAGATGACCACTGACGGATCCGAAGCTGATCCGAAATGCTCTTTGTCTAATACAAGCCTTGCAGATAAACCCTAAACCCTAAACCCTAAACCCTAAACCCTAAACCCTAAACCCTAAACCCTAAACCAGTTCATCATCACCGCAGGCAAGGCCGCTGCCTCCCCGAAGAGTGGGACCCGCAGGCCCGGGAGCAGAAGGAACGTTTCGGAATCTGAAGCTTAGGGTTTAGGGTTTAGGGTTTAGGGTTTAGGGTTTAGGGTAGGGGGCGGGGAAGTTCATTACGGTTCAGGGTTTAGGGTTTAGGGTTTAGGGGGGTAGGGGGGGGGGGGGGCCTTGATACCTGTAATAAGGACCTCATACGGCCTATTTAGGGAAGTATAGTCCCCTACCCCCCTCCCCCTTACCCCTCCAAGGGTCCCGATGATCTGCAGGCCTCCTTAAGGTTTCCTGGCCTTGTACTTGATCTCCCTGAGTCGATAGACGCATGCGACTTCACGAGCTGCCGCTCTTGCTGACCCGTGAACAGCGGCTCGCTAGCGCATTGCTGTAGACGTGGGCCCAATAATTTTCGTCCAAGACGGCTCCGATGGGTCGTAAGACCGGAGGTGCCGAACCTACGTGGCTCGTTTGGTGTTTCGAGCATTGCTTGAAGCCCGAGCATGCCGTAGTACGCAAGGAGTTGGCGGCTCTCGCGACCAGGTTCGGATGCAAGTTGGTGTGGCACAAGAAATCCATGAGCTTTCTCAGATGGCTGGAGGGCAGGAAGGGGAGCATACTGCTCGTCGCAGATTGGCGAGAAGCCAAGCCCATCACGGAGGAGATCAACAAGCAAAACAGGGGCCATGACTTGCGCATGTGTGTCGTCGCACAAACAGCAACGATCCTTCGCCGTGCATCTTTCTGGGCACGGGCTCAGAATGGATGTGCAGAGATCATGGTGACGCCGGGCTTCTTGCTACACAAAGTGGAGGAGTTGATCGCAAGCTATGTGCAGGCTGCGCAGGCCAAGCGCATCGCAGAGCCGGCTATGAGGACATGTGCTGAGATCACCGTGAGGTCTACAGACGAATGGTTGTCCCTCTCCAGCCTTCTTGAAGCCGTCAATGACCCCATGCAGGCTCTTGGACTTGAGAAGCTCATTCGTCAAACGATGTGGCAACTCTACGAGGACTGAGCCAAGGATGATCAAATGTATCAGTCGGAAAGCTGATGGGGCGAGAGCGAAGATCGCAGGATCCCGAGTAGTCTTCTTTCTGACGTTTTGCCAAGCCTGCAGAAGCAGGCAGGGACCTTTGTCCTCCAGGCCGTATTGGGTCGTTTTTTGAGGCCAAGGCTTTCCGTCCGTGTTTAGCCATGCCGAAGTCCAGGCAAAATTGCTTGCAGCCGGATATTCCGGGTTTAGAGTTCAGAGTCTTACGGGTTTAGGGTTTAGGGTTTAGGGTTTAGGGTTTAGGGTTTAGGGCTTAGGGTTTAGGGTTCTGCCCGCGGCAAAGCCTTCGAGCTCATCAAGGGTGGACACTCTGCTCACTTGGAGGCCTTGAGGTTTCAAATCCCAAATGCCCGTACGAGAGGCCCCTAAACCTTCACGGTTTAGGGTTTAGGGTTTAGGGTTTAGGGTTTAGGGTTTAGGGTTTAGGATTTAGGGTTTAGGGTTTAGGGTTTAGGGTTTAGGGTTTATATAGGAACCCCAATGGCAAGATTTATGGTAACCCTCATCGCAAACCTCATAGCAGCACTTACGCCCATCTCCCAAGCCCGAGGCCTGAAGCCAACTCAACAACCCCTAAACCCTAAACCTTTTTTTTAGGGTTTCAACCCCGAGCCATTCTCCCAGGGCGCCAGGAGTTGAACATCTTGAGCGATGGAAGCCTCTCTTCCAGGACGACAAGTGCCCAACCCTGCCTTAATCAAGGGAGGACGAGGAGGAGGACGAGGAGGAGGAGAAACCCTAAACCCTAAACCCCTAAACCCTAAACCCTAAACCCCTAAACCCCTAAACCCTAAACCCTAAACCCCTAAACCCCTAAACCCTAAACCCCTAAAAAGCAGGAGGAGGACTAGGACAACGGGTAGTCGGGCCGGACGGGGACTCGCTTTAGGACTTTGTATGAAGACGCGAGGAGTCGGACCGAGGCTCGGACTAGGGCTAGTAGCCGTCGTAGTCCTAGGACTTGGAGGATCATGGGACTTAGTAACCAAGGTTATAAGATATAAGTTTAGGGTTTAGGGTTTAGGGTTTAGGGTTTAGGGTTTAGAGTTTAGGTTACAACTATCTTAATTGGGGTTATAACTACTTATAAGTACAGTTACCTTATTTGTAACCCTAGTTACTACGTCCCATGATCCTCCAGGTAGTAGGCGGAGAGGAGGAGGATAGCAGTAGAGTAGTAGCAGCAAGAGTAGTGATGGTGGTGGTAGGAGTCGTCAGATCCACGATCACAGTCATAACTTCTGTCAGCCAGACTGCGAGTCAGAAGCACTTCCTGCTCTAAACTGGTTGCCGCCTTTGGGATGGGGTTTCGGCCTGAGGAGACAAGGGCCAGGACTTAGTTCGGCCTAAATCCACTAGAGTACCTTGATTTTCCCCCCTGATGGGAACACCCTAAACCCAACACCCAAATCCCCGTACGGCGTGTTGGGGGCACCCTAAACCCTAAACCCTAAACCTTAAACCCTAAACCCTAAACCCTAAACCCTAAACCCTAAACCCTAAACCCTAAACCCTAAACCCTAAACCCCAAATGGGCTGCCTGGCTGCTCTGAGCCCGGAGCCTTTCCCCTGGCTGCTCTCTGCCCCTGCCCCTGCCTGGAAGCACTTTTGGCCGATTTTGATCTAGGACGGGCCCAACATGCTCTAATTCCTACACCCTCAAAGCTAAACCCTAAACCCTAATCCCTAAACCCCCTACATCCTAAAACTGTACCCTGTGCTGTATCTTTGTTTTCTGGTCGCACCACTTGGAGGATCATGGGATTTAGTAACTAGGTTTATAAATACGGTAACTATACTTCTATGTAGTTATAACCCCAATTCAGGTAGTTATAACCTAAACTCTAAACCCTAAGCCCTAAACTTAGAACTTATAACCTTAGTTACTAAGCCCCATGATCCTCCAAGCAGGACCCAACATTCTGTGGCGAAGCGCCGGACATCAGCTCCCCGGATTAGAGAGTTTTGACATTGGGGCTTAGGGTTTAGGGTTTAGGGTTTCGAGAGTTTAGTTTAGGGCCTAGGGTTGAGGGTTTCGAGACTTTTGACATTGGGGCTTAGGGTTTAGTTTAGGGTTTAGGGTTTGGGGTTTCGAGACTTTTGACATTGGGGTGTAGGGTTTAGGGTTTAGGGCCTAGGGTTTAGGGTTTCGAGACTTGACATTGGGGTGTAGGGTTTAGGGTTTAGAGAATTTTGACATTGGGGCTCAGGGTTTAGTTTAGGGTTTGGGGTTTAGGGTTTTGAGACTTTTGACATTGGGGCTTAGGGTTTAGAGTTTAGGGCCTAGGGTTTAGGGTTTTGAGAATTTTGACATTGGGGTTTACGGTTTAGCGACATTGGCGCTTAGGGTTTAGGGTTTAGAGAATTTTGACATTGGGGCTTAGGGTTAAGGGTTCAGGGTTTAGAGAATTTTGACATTGGACCGAACATAGCTTTGAGATTGATGTGGGGTTCTGGGTCGTAGTCTACCATAGCTGGCTACTGCCGCTGCTTCCGCAGCAGCTGTTGGTACGACGACGACGACGATGGCGATGACTACGATGTGCATGGTCACAGCAAACAGTGCTGATATCTTTGGTCTCTCACCGATGGCCTTGATGATGGTCGTGAGTATGCTTCATTTGATGATGCTTTTGATCTGGAGGCCGCATTTAACTTCGATGCAAAGTCCTACACCCTAAGCTTTCTGAGTCAGGTATCCCGATGATGGCACCCTTACCGGAGAAGACTACGGCCTGGCAAAGAACGAATCTGCCCAGGAGGGTACCAAAAAGGTTACGGTGCCTGTACCCGCCTATGCGTTTTTGGAGATTTCAGAATGAGGCGTTTTGCATGGATCTGCGCGAAACCACAGCGAGAGCGCAATCTCAACTAAAATTGTTGTTCAGGCAGGTGCGCAAAACACTAGAGGCTGAAGTAAACTTCGGGCCTAACTGCGTTTTCGCTCGGGTTTTAAGGTCATTTTTGAAGAGACCGCAGAACAAAACTTTATTTTAGAGAGAGGTTTGGAGGATGTATGGCTGAGTATAAAGTATTTGTCATTTGAAGGCCGGTCATGGGTTTTATGTTGAGAGTTTTTTGCTTACAGGGTAACGCAGTGAATACCAGCGATTTGGGCATAAAACGCTGTAAATACCAGTGTTTTGGGCATGGCCGCGAACGGCATGGACGCTTGTGACAGATTTTCTTGTTCCGCTTCTTTGTGCAGTATGTAAAAACGCTGTAAATACCAGTGTTTTTGGGCATAAAACACGTAAATACCAGTGTTTTGGGCATGGATGCAATACGAATGACGTTCTTATCCCCCCCCCTTAGCCCTCACCACCCCCCCACTCCTTCCCCCCCAATACCCTGAAACCTGCAAAAACGCATAGCCAGCCGCGTACAGGCGCCGTCACCAAAAACATTTGTCAGGAAAATCCGACTGAGGGGAGGGTTTAGGGTTTAGGGTTAACTGAGTTCTTTTCTTGCCGTGCTTGAAGCGTTGGCCCCCCAGGCGCCAAACTGTTCCCTTGTTGGAGTAGGACCCAGAGACTCCAATATCCCTTAGTTAAGGAATATACCTTAAATCTTATTAGGGATCCTATTATAATTGAAGGTATATTCCTTCATTAAGGGGTATTGGAGTCTCTGGGGAGCTGCACGATCAGGCGACTGCCTTAAACAGCAGCCTCTCGGCCCCAAACCCCTCAGCCCCGAAACTAATGCAGGGGCCTGAAGAATTGCCACCACTATTTTATGGGGTTCCTTGGTATAAGTATAGAGAGATGTGCACAAAGCCCTATTCTAATTATCAAGGCCCCTACACCCTAAACCCCTTATAGTAGCCCTTGTAGAACCTTTTAAACGAACCCTTTAAAGGAACCCCACAACCCTATTCTAATTCTCAAGGCCCCTACAGTACACCTCGAATCTTATACCGGCAACCCGATTCCGGCAGCAAAGCGAGGTGCGGTTCGACGGCCGGGGGCTCAGTTAGGGGTTTGGGTTTGGGGTTGAGGGTTTAGGGTTGAGGGTTTAGGGTTTAGGGTGAGTGAGTTTTGGAAATCGACACGTTCATCAGAGGGTTTTGTACAGCAGTTGAATGAGGGTTTGCTGCGGATTTTTTTTAGAGTGTATGTTCTTGTCTTTGTTGGAGTAGACATGATCCCGCAACCCCAGAAGCCCAGAATCCAAACCCCCTGAACTCCAAATACCCGAAACTTGAGGCCCCAAACCCGAGCTGCCAAACCTTACTGTCGGGCCCATTATACTACTCTATTCATAATAAGGACCCCCC